ATTGCAACATCCTAATCTATCTGAACTGCTCTCCGGTGCGCCGTAACGTCACAAAAAGTCGCCAATTTTTGGGTATTGTGTTTATTACTTTCCCATTTCAAATGCTCGGGAAACTGCCAAAAATTAACCAGATGCCTTGAAATTTTTAAAAAGACGACAGAATTGATTAAGGAATGGAATTAGGATAATTTTCATCCTAATCTTATGTATTGAAAACTTTTCTTACGAATTAATTCTTATGTCTTCTCTAATATAACCTTGCTATTTTTACCGTGCGCCGTAGGACCGTACCTTGTGCACATTCAAGCAGAATAAAATCTTTATTTTTGAATATATATTATCAAAAACATTATGATTCACTTAAATATGATGAATAAACATTTACTGAAAATTTCAGCTTAGTGCGCCCATTACTTTTAGAGAAAAACGCTTTGTCCACGATTTTATGGGACAACCCTCGTATAGTCATTCGTTTTCCAAATTAAGTCACGAGATCACACGCTTAAATTGGAACTGCACATTTAACAGAACAATGCATTTCATGTCGAAAAGATGAAGAAAATTCATTCATACATGTATCATTAAAAAATCATCAGTTAATGAGGCCATATGAAATATTAAAAGAATACTTGCTTATTTGCCTTATATATTCAGATGTAAGAGATTTAGAAGATCATAATTCCTTTCCATACAAGAATTGTACAACTTTAAATAGAAATGATAAATTGAGTTTGAAATCTAGGAATGATGGCGTATGAAAATATTTTCTTTTCTCGATCTGCTTTTCAAAAGTATTATAGAACAATAAATTAATTAATATTTTTTACACAAAGACGTACTCGAAAGAAAATAAAATTGATTAAAATTGACTAAAGTTTTATAATAAATCAAATAGATATGATTTTTTAAAACAAATTTCAATTATGTAAGTAAATCTAAGTACAGATTTAGCTAAAAAACCAGCTTAACCTTAAAAGGTGGGCTTTTTTCTTTCTAAGTGAACGAGCAATTTTTTGTTTTTGTATCATTTTATATGACAACTTTATCATAATTATGTGAAAATAAAAAAAAAATAAATATAGGAAGCAAATAAAAATAATTGAAATATCAAAAAATGAGAAAAAAGAGAGAATTCGGATCAGTCAATATCATTTTTAAATAAACAATTTATGTTAATTTGATAATATCATCTTATAGACCGTAGGTAGTTTTATTTTTGTATAAAGATGATTTTTTTAAAAATGATTTGGAATAGAAGTAGGATCTCATGTTTGGCAACAGTAATGTCCTCTGAAAAGTTAATAACCTTGACCTGACCTTGCCTCTAATCAAAAAAAAAAAAAAAAAAAAAAAAAAAAAGGGTCAAATTTAATGTATTTAATTTTATCACTTAAAGTTAAGTTGTCTTCTAGATTCTATAGGAATTTTATTAAATTTTTAAATACCAATTTATTTATGATATTCAGAAACTATAGGTAGAATACGGCAGAAAATATCTTTTATATTACTTTTATCTTACGGAGGTTTTTTGTATAATGGAAGGTACCATATTTCATAGATCTTTGATGTCTGTTTCTCATTTAAGGCAATAATGCAATTTGAATTGTTTTTTTCCACAAAAGGAGAGGGAATATTTATATTTTTACAAAGGAAATTTGATAAAAAAAAAACCCAGATACATGTACTTGTAAAATAATATACGTGACTCCTTCTTTAAAAAAATGTGAAAAAAATTCTTTCAGTAAATATTTTTTTTACTACACAAACTAAATAAAAGAAAATAGTATATGCTATTTGATTACCTGCACCAATTAAAGTGATGAGCCTTCCAACATATTGTTCATGGAAATCATAAAATAATCTAGAACATTTAGATCATTTGAACTTTAATTTATTTCAATAATACTGTGAAAAAATAATTGCACGTGTAATTGCACGTATTCCCTTTTTTGTCAAAATATTAATTGTTTTGCTTTTAAATGGTTTAAAATAAAAATGTTCTGGCAGTGTTTTGTTTTAAAGATCTTTCCGCAATTACTTCATCTGTAAAAAAAAAATAAGATTTTTTTTTATTTAGAAACAGAAATTGGTTTGATTAAACACTGGAACACGACAAAATATACCATGAAAGCGGTATGCTCTCTTTCAATTTCAAAATCGTCGTTCAGGCAAAAAATTACAAAATAGAAGACTATAGTTGTACAGTAATATTATGCAATAATATTTTTGAAGGAAATCAATCGTTAAACATTTTTATGTTAGATTGAACTAAACCGAAGGATTGGTAACACACCCGGTGACAGGTTTTTCTTAGAATCGTTTGTATAATTAAAAAAAAACTTCGTGATTCACCAATTCATACCGCGAAAGTGCGTAAAACCCTGAACTTGGAATTCCTATTATTTCCATTTACTCATTTTATCCAACAAATTGAAGGGTGGATCCAATGCTGATCTCATGTTTCATATAAAAATGGATTATATTTACCAACTACAACAGGATGTAATTCAAATTTTACAACTGAATAATGATAATATTATCATTTTGCGTTCATGTCTTGGGAGAGAGAGAAAGGTTATGGAAAAGGGATAAAACGTCAGGTTGATCTGAAAAGAAAAGTGTACTTTAACTATGTGCATGTTTTACGCCTGATCAAGTAACACCAAGTAGTGAATGTCTATTTACACGTACACATATGCAATTTTACTTCATAATTGAATCCAAATTAGCATTGCTTTACGTAGAAAAAGACGGAAAAGTTTGATGGTGGTCTGTTATGAAATTGTATAAGATAAACATGAACAAATAAGCATATGCAGTAAACAAAGAAAAAAATCAAGATTTCAGTTTCTTTAAAGTTTTGGGTCTTTTTTATGATTCACTGTTTTTTCTTGACTCGACGTTTTTAAAAAAAAAAACATTTCCACAATTTATGTATTTTCATACCTGATGAGAAACAAACTAGGATTTTTTTTCAATTATGAATCTTATTTATTATTTTATTTATTTATTGATTTATTGATTTATTGATTTATTATTATTATTATTATTATTATTATCTTTTATGATCATCACAAATTGCCCTGAGTGCCTTCACATTTCTAAATGAGTAAAAGGCTCTTGAACTGGACTTAAAACAATCACTCACTCACTGAATCCTGTACACTAAGTGACAATATATGTAGTAGTTAACACCAAGGTATTCAGCAAAATAACATAATTTTGTTTGTATTCTAGCCACTGATTGGCTTAAATTAAAAAGAAAGAAACATGAATTATTTCTGTATAACCTGGTTTGGTATGGGGACACACCCCCTGACAACTAGTTGAATCATCTGTATCTCTTTATTTCAAGTCCAGGATTCATGGTAAAAAACACATTCTAGATTTATTGAATGCACCTTGAACTTCAAACAGTAACTCGAACTTACCACATGTAAACAAACATCATGGCTACTAGGACCGTGTTTTAATACCAGTTTTCGCCTCCCAATCACTTCCGTTACTACGGATATATTATGGAGCGGTAAAATTAAACTAATTAAAAGCAGGAAAAATTTACATCCACAGTTTTTTAATGATTTTAAAATTTTAAAATTAAATTATGAGGAACCACGCTTCGTGGATTCTGAAGAGTAAATTGACCAAACCAGGTACGTTATATTCGAATAATTTGACCAAGAATTAAAGAGTCATTCCTAAATAAATGTAGAAACAATTTTCCAAATGTAATTTGTTTCCTGTGGAGTGGAAAGATTCAATTGTGATTTTTTTCCTTTCAAATGTATGTTGTCATAGTTTTCAATATTTAAAATCACAAACATCAATGCATGTATCTTTTGAATATTGAATTATTGTATTCCCTATTGCGATACTTAAGTTCAAACGTATGAGAATCAAAAACAGCATTTCCCTATATGGTGAAGTAATTACCCTTGAATTTATTACCTCCATTTTATTCCTATCCACAAATATCTCATCTCTTTATTTCTGATCAGCAGTTTGAAAAATGTATTTTTAATATAAATGAAAATTCAAGAATTTTACTTTGAATACAAATTAAACGTGCCTTTTTACTTTTTACTTAACAAAACAAGTATTCAAACGAATAACTTACCATTTGTTAAAGAGCTGAAAGAATATGTTACAACAGTAGAAAATTAAATGTAGCAGAACCGGTGATATTGGATTACAAGTCGTTCTTGGGATGTAAATATACCAGACCTCCTGGATCGTATCATAAACAACACAGTTTACCTGTAATTGTATGTGTTGATGATTTTATTGATAACCATTTTTTACATTATAAAAAAGAATCGTGTTTAATATGTATTAGTTCATATATAAGATATTTACATGTAGCTTTTAAATCGTGATATGTTTTTTGTTTCTTTTTCGTTTTCTATTATTTTTTCTCTTAAAATGAATTGAAAATATCGTTCTCTGTATGTTTTGAAGATTTTTAAACCAAAATAATTATACTTTGTTTTCTCTGTACACATTGTCAATATCATTTGGATAGTCTGTTTTGTTAATTACTGATCCAACTGAAGTGCAGGTGAACAATCTTTAAATGCGTGTATAGACTTCACGTAGATTATATGTTAATAATATGCATGGTTAACATGTAAATTGCTTCTCGTATTTATCAAATAATGAAGTTACAATGAACATGCTTCATGTAAACAATGTCTTTACAAAGACGTGACGACAAATTGTGAAACAGACCTTAAAGTTGACGTCCTGTTTCTCAATGATAAATACATAACATGTAATTTTTCCCATTTATCATTGGAGCATTAATTCCTACTTTAACGAGTTTGCTCAAAGAAAATTGAGGTACCTTGCATGTACAGGCATTTGTGCTACATTCCAGAAAGTAGTGTTTTCTTTACAAATATATTTGAATTGATTAAAATGGTCAAAATTACAATTTTTAATGCATTTTATAACTACAGGTTTTTCATTTTAATAAATTAATTATCATCTATTAATTCCAATTTATTTAGCGATGCTTTATTCTTTTAGTATTCTCAAAAATGTTCTTTCATAAAAACATAAACCTAAAGATATCAACAAGTTTGTAAATGATAAAGTTATCCAAAATGCGACAGTTGGACCATCTGTCTTGCAGTTCTACCCACATCCTTTTTATTTCTGATGGACTATAATGATGTCCAGTGATTCCATAACGGAAGTTCTTTCCACAAGGCCCCTCATCGCGATATCCACAACTGAAACCCTTATGCTCTACAGCACGGGCTTCAATATATTGCCTACATAGACCAGTGATGTAAATATCTTCGAATATAAAATACGGAACTTTTTGAGTGGCCATGTACAGGTTGTGTAAAATATCACCACTGATAAGATATGCAGTTCCGGCTATATAATCGGGATAGTAGTCTTCTTTATATTGTGTCCTTGACACTGTCCATTTATTTATTGGAAATCGGAACGGAGTAGAATCCTTGACCTTACATCCAGTTATTGAATTTTCGGTAGGATTCTTCGTTACCTCATTTAGAAGTCTTGGAAGGTTAAGAAAAATGTCATCATCTACCTTAAGCAGATAACGAACCCGATGACAATTCATGGACGCCCAACGTAACATAGCAATAGATTTCCTTGTCAGGTTTTCATAAGTTTCTATGATGTTTTCAAATAGAATATCATTGTAGATACGGTTTTCAGTCGTTGCTAAATCCTGTTGAGTATCTTCTTTACTTTTCCCCAAGAGAAATTTAACGAGGATAGGCTTTTCTACATTTGATACATTTCCCCATGTATTTCTGATGGCATTTCGTTTTTCGAAGTTCGACACAGAACTATGAACAATAATTAACAGAAACACATCCTTATTATCACAAGTTACAGGTTTTGTCGAAAATGACCTGATGATCCCAGCATTCACATATGCTTGAACTAGTTTGTACGAAGTTATTTGTACATTATCCTTCGATTCTCGAAAAGGTAAACACACAAAGAAAGTTATTAAGTATAAGATGAAAATCCATTTGAATAAAGATTTTAATGTCTTTATCTTTGCTCTACTCAGCATCTGAAATTACACAAAAACATGTGCTGATAAACAGATTTCAAAGAAAAAATTCTCAAAAAGAGATTATTTCTTCTATTTTATGAAATCTGCTTTTAAAGACTATAGAAGGGGAAGTGTCAAGGATCAAATTTCTCAAAATTATTAGGAAAATTTCATTTTAATTACCATATCTCATTTGGTCCTATAAAATGCTGAATTAAAAGCAGGTTTGTGCTTGAATATTTACATATCTTGTGATTTTCTCTTTGAGAACTCTTAGAAAGTTAGGTGAATTGCAATTGATCTCTTGATAATTAAACCTGAATGCACATTTTACAGAGTGAAAGATCAAGTGCCTGATAGGTCAACTTCTCGTAGCTTTCTTTGTGGCTAACGACAGTTGGCGGGGACTACACATCTATTGAAATTGACTTGGGAGGTCTCGTGTACTGTAAATCTTTGAGACAACATTTTTAAAACCTAAATTTACAATAGGTATTCAAAGTTTTATTTCAGATATAAATGTTAATATAAGGGATCACTATCTAGGTTATTTGGTATGTTAGGGACATCAACGATAGATGGAAAATTATGCAAATTACCCAACATATGTAACTATCGTTGATTCTTTTATTAACTCCACAGCTTCATATCTTTATTTTTAATTATTGTTATTAATACTAGTATTATTGTTGTAATAAAAATGCAGAGTATATGCACATATTTGAAAAAAAAATCACCTTCGTGATGACAATTTAATTGGCATTATTTACTTGGTAGTCCAAATTTTCTAATCATAGCTTTTCTACCTGTAATTTGATCGAAATATTTTGGAATCTTTGTGAGGGTGAGTTTGTTAGAGTGAGTTTAAAAAAATTATATATAAATTAAAGACCATGTCTTTTAATATAGAATCTCAGTTATTAAGTACCATTTCTTGTTGACTTGTTAATCTGATTGTTTACCATTAGTTATACATATTCCGATTTTGTTTTTGTTATTGTGTTAAGCTCATTAGTTTTTCCTTTTTTAATGAATATAATTCAAGTCAAATATTGTACTGAAAATTGTAATAAAAAATTTAAATTTTTGAATGTTACAGAAATCTTATATTTGAGCAATCAAAATAGAAATATTAAAAAAAATCAAAACACATTCGCTGTAATATATGTTGTCTTTTCCATTTCTACTTACTCTTTGAATAAGCTACAAGCCATCAATTATTTTCTATTTTCAAATCTAAGGATTTGATGTTCAGATTGTTCAAAATATATGTCCTAAACAAATGTTGGGAAAATCTTCAGATTTATCTTCAATCAAATATATTTTTGTTCGTCATTATTTTTACATGTATCAAAAAATAAAACCATATGTTCCTATATTAACAAGCTGTCTTGAGTGCATTGTGGTTTGATTTATCAACCGCTAGCAAGTAGTTAGGATTTAATGAAATTACGTCCAGAAGTTGTGACATGATAATGTGATTTGCAATCAAATGAGTTTTTCCATTATCTTAAATGATTATTTTATTTGGTTTTTTATTTAAACTCACGCCGTTTAAGCTGTTTCCACTAATAATACTATGTCCGTGGAAAAATGCGGCTGATCTGACGTAAGAAAAGCGTAACATAAAACACAGAAGCAAATTCCAATGCATACTCTGTGTCATCTGTATGACACAGTTGTTGGTTAAATGTATTAGTTATACACTGAATTGACGTCGGATTATTCCGTTATTTCTCGATCATGACAAGGATCACACGGCGGGTATGACATGTCTGCAGGGGATGTTTACTCTTCCATGGCACCTGATCCCACCTATAATGTTTTGGGGTTGTGTGTTTGCTCTGCTCTTATTTTGTATTGTTTTATATATCTTTTGATCTTGCATACTGTTTGTTATCTCCATATTTTTCATGTACTAAGTTTGTTGTTCAATGTCCTTCTTAAGATTGTTCACACAGATGGACACACCACCACTTCCTGACTGAAGGCTGCAAATGTGGACCTATATTCATCACTCAAGGTCATAAATGTGTGAGTGATCTTTACCTGTCAGTACCTATTGCGACATGGAACCTCTTTTTATATGCTGTTTCAGCCCACGACTCTATCGCAAACTTTAGATCTAGAGCCATGTGGTTTTATTTTATTGAGAATGGACGATATCTAATTTTTATATGACAGAAAAGAACTTTTTGCATTTACAAATTCCAATGCATACTCTGTGTCATCTGTATGACACAGTTGTTGGTTAAATGTATTAGTTATACACTGAATTGACGTCGGATTATTCCGTTATTTCTCGATCATGACAAGGATCACAGGGCGGGTGTGACATGTCTGCAGGGGATGTTTACTCTTCCATGGCACCTGATCCCACCTATAATGTTTTGGGGTTGTGTGTTTGCTCTGCTCTTATTTTGTATTGTTTTATATATCTTTTGATCTTGCATACTGTTTGTTATCTCCATATTTTTCATGTATTAAGTTTGCTGTTCAATGTCCTTCTTAAGATTGTTCACACAGATGGACACACCACCACTTCCTGACTGAAGGCTGCAAATGTGGACCTATATTCATCACTCAAGATCATAAATGTGTGAGTGATCTTTACCTGTCAGTACCTATTGCGACATGGAACCTCTTTTTATATGCTGTTTTAGCCCACGACTCTATCGCAAACTTTAGATCTAGAGCCATGTGGTTTTATTTTATTGAGAATGGACGATATCTAATTTTTATATGACAGAAAAGAACTTTTTGCATTTACAAGCCCCTTTTCATTTATAAGTTAAATAACTATTCGCAATATAATAAAATGCAAAGTATCATAAAATAAACATTTTAAATTGCTATGAATTTTTTAAAAAGAGGATCTGATTAGCATGCAAAAGATAAAGATGCCATGTAACTATACCCACTTCTGATCTTTAAAGTGATAACCTTACACCCGTTTTGTACGTTTTACTGGATTATGAACCTGATCTCTGTTTATAGTTTTCAAATTTTATGGATGTATTTCTTTTCATATTTGCATAAGACATTGATACAGACTAAAAAAATTAAAATCAGTCAAGGTCTTACAAAAACATCTGCAGTTACAAGTTTTGCTAACATATCTTTTTTAAATCCCTGAGATTTCTTTTTTATATATACCTGGTATGCTTCCTTATTTGCAGGAAATATGTGATTGTCTTCCAAATAATTGAGGAAACATACTTTTTTTGATACAATGATTCTATTACTGTACTAACAATAAGCTGATTTTCCAGTACCATGCGCTGTAATTAAAGTTTTCTTGAAACTTGTTTAATTAACAATTATTAAAAAACAAAAACAAAAAACAATTAATGTTAATGCCATGATTGTAAATTGACCTTAGAATCTAAAACGAGGTAATGAACTTTTTAATTGTCATAGAAAAGCGAAATCATTTCGTTCAATCATAAATTGTTATTCGTCATGATATTGTTTTTCAATGATCAGTTGCCATAAGTTTGGCATGTTTGTTTTTTCTTGGTGAAATGACAGCAGTGTGCATGCCGGTATTGCATGTATATGTGGAATAAAAGATTGTATAGATAACCACGTCTTTTTTTCATACCCTCGGTGCAAATCATGCATTCTAAACATAACATGCAACAAAAAAAGTTTTCTTTTTGAACATTGTGACGGCAACATTGCAAATGTCACCATTAAAATTACAGATTTCCTGCAAGGAAGACAGGATTTTTTGTATTGTGTACTTGTATTTGACAGAATGCAGGCATACAAGGCAATGTTAATCCCCCGCTCTGAGAAAAGACATTTCTTAATTCTAAAAGTTCATGAAAGCTATTTTTTTCAAAATTATATGATCTTTTATATTACATTTAATTCTGCATTTCATTGTTTTAATATTTCATTCATAATTTATTTTTTCACTCATGTTTAAATATATATGAAAACAAAAAGAAAAACCTCATGTTTGATTCAAACTCTCTCCATAGAGCAGGGATTGGCACAAGACCGACCGCGTTAACCGCTACAAAACGAAGAATATGCGTTATGGCAGTCTGTCAGTGTGAGTAAACGAACGGGTTTTTGAAGCGTATATTTTTTTTCCAGAAATGTTCGATTTTCATATAGAATGGGCTAAGATTCCAATTTTTCGACAAATGAAATGGATTTCACATTTACGTTTCTATCATTTAAGCGATAACGAAAGATGGTCGGTGACTTGACCCATTCGTGTTCAAAATTCATTTTTTTATGGCTCTAGTAAACCCATTTTCCACTAAATATGCTTAACTGTCAACTTTGAAAAAAAGATTATCAAATGATAAGTCGTTCAGTAAAATAAAATAATAAAATGTTTTGAAGATGACATTACTGAGAACATGATTTTAGAAAAATATAACTTTTCCGTGAATTTTGAAAATTGAGAAACATATTATCTCAGAGCGCCTTGTACGCCCTCTTTTGCACTTATTGAGGGATGTTTGGCATTAAAAAATGAAATAATTTCAAAAGCAGTAAAAGTAATTAATGAATTCATTTTACAAATTACGATAAATCAAACAAATGAGGGAAAATATAAAATAAAATAAATGGAATCAAAACTTTACTTTCGATTCATATACTATAATGTAGACTCAAATTAACGATGTAGATAAATATAAGAAAAACAGACAAAATTTTCCTTTCTAATAATTTTGTCTTATTGTTTCTAGAAATCGGGTAAGGGATGTTAGAAATGAATTGTTAAGAATGGCTCATGATTTTTATCGTTGCTTGAACTGAAAAAAAGACAGTGGAGATCCCTCCTTAAATAATTTTGCACTATATATGTTTGTAGTTAACTCCAGAAAATAAAGCTATGTTTTAGATACCCCCCCCCCCAATAAATAAGCCCGATGTCTTATTTTGGGTTGCGAAGAAACAGGAACGTAGCATCAGTGGCCAGACCCAAACCTTTTCCAAACAAAAGTTTTTACTAATCAAAAGATTGATTGAACATTGCCCGGTTGAACCTACTCATTTTAGTCAAAAAAGGTAATGTAGTAGTTTATGAATACAATATATATAGTAATGACAGAAATTGTATCCTATTTTGATCGTTATGTTTTTTCCGGTTAGTTGATTTTTTCCCTTTTACTCACCCCTCCCCCCTTTAAATCGATGCTAATTTCTTGAATGAATTAAGGTAGTGTTCACCAAAAATGTGTAGTTGTACCTCACACTGAAAAACTTCTATAAAGAGTGTATGTATATAGGTGTAGTACTTTTTTTAAACATGATTTTTCTTAACTGATCGTGTCAGAATCTTTATTTAAGCAACTTTTGGAGTGTATTTAATTGTAAATAATTTAGAAAAAAAAATTATTTTACGTATACGTTTAACAATCCGGAAGACAAGCCCCTATGCCCAAGCCTCCTTGTTTTATCAGCTCGTCTCACCCCACCTAAAATCCCCTATCCACCCTTGATTGTATAAAATGCATTTGTTGGAGCCTTAAGCGATGTCTGAAGACATCCCATCCCAGATATTTAAAAGGTTTAATTTTTAGTGCATAATGCGCTCAATACTGAAGATCTGTAGTCGCTATTTTGTAAATGTTCACCGAACCGAAAATGTCCATAAGTAAAAGATTTATTCAGTTTCTGGGCTAATTACTTTCACTGTAGATCCTTTGGTTCGATGAGTTTTTCTTTAAGAAAAAATTGTTTTATTTAAAAACCAAAAAAAGGAAAATTAGCTTTTTGTTTATATATTTTCCAAATGACAACTATCAAAAAATTCCTATGAGATATATTTTTTCTCATTTTTTTTTTTTTATAAATATACTGCAGATCTTTGATGAAAAAAAAATAATTGAGTACAGTTTTGTAAAAATTTAATAAAGGTTTAGGTTTCATTATTCTTCTTTTACTTGACATATAACGAAATACTGAAAACCGACGCTCCTTTATACACACCATACCGGGTGAACAGTTTTATGTAATTCTGAATTAAACGTATGGTTTTCTAAAAACGTCGCCTATATTTCAAGGATGCACACAAATCAAATAAATGAGCACATTCCTAATTTTATCCTTGGTTATCAAAGATGAATATGAAATATTATTTATGAAACGAATATCTTATGTAAGAATCATTGCGTTTTCATTCTTAAATGACATGTATTATTATTGTGAAATGAACAAATTTCATTAAATGCATTATTATTTTAACGAGGAAAATTCGAAAAGTTCGTGGACGATGTCACTTTTCGTTATTTTACATTCATGAATCAAAAATAAGCACTATATAATGTCACAGTGTAAAAATATTTGATTTGCTGATGTGTGTGTGTGTGAAGTTTCATTCCATTTGATTTATCAAAAATCAAGTTGCTTCATTTTATAATCATGTTTTGTGACCACGGAGCACACTTACAGGCAGTGTAACGTCAAAAACATAGCGTCAAGAATTTCTCAAAAAATCCTATTCATTTACATTTCATACAGTGTAGTCCGTTATCGACTCATTAAAAACCCTATTTTATCACTTGACATTTCATTTTTGAAGTTTTCCTCGTTATTTAGATTCCTTTGTCAATATCTTAATCAATTTTCCTTTCTCTCTTTACTGTGCTTTCACAATATCAGCAGCTCTGAAGCACCAATGTCTTTCCAACTTTGAAAGATTTTGTTGATTTTTTTTTTCAGTTACAATGTTTCTTTACAGATTTTCTACGTCCGATACAGAGTCTCAATCACTCAAATATCGCCTGTTCATTTACACAAATATGCACGACTCACTTGAGGCATATTTTTGAGTCCTCTAATATTTATAAGGTTTATACAAAATATTCACCGAGAATTATACAATAATGCATCGTTATTTGCAGCTCCGTGACGTAATAATTCTTAATTTGAACGTCTATGATTTTTTTTCGATTTTACTACGTTTTACAGAGAATTTGACAACAGACGTTTAATTAGTGTATTGTTTGTAAATTACTAAATTTTGACCTGCAACGCGGTCCGGGTTTTGAATTTAAAAAAAAAATCTTTAAAAGTTTGAAATCCATCGTGACATTTTAAAATCTTTTAATACAAATCATTTTAATTTATTGATTAAACATTTCTACCAAATTAGAATAACATACGACGTCAAATAAAAAAGATGTGACAGAAGTCCACGAACTTTTCGAATAACCTCGTTTAATTGCTTCGTGGCAATTCAAAAATATCTTTTTTTTTTAAATTTAAATAATCCTACCTCTTATTTGCATGCATCAACACTAAAAACAAAAGAATGGTCCAAAGCAGAATGCAAGGTTTTAAAAGTTAGTATTAAAGAAGATCCCGGTGTTTTGAAAAAATCTCTATCCTGACAAATTCCTGGGTTAGAATGCATGTAATCACATGGGTTACCTGACGACGTTCATTGGTCAGGAAGTTGGGAAACCCAAGGTCTCTCTCATATTTCCTAGCTACTTTATATATGCAATATTTTGTAGTTAAATGGAGTTACCTGAGAAATCAACAGAAAATGTCAAATTTGATATTCATTTAAACACTGCACAAACATCCTATGAATTTTAATTTTTTTTACAATCACAAGGTACAATACACCATCAAAAGCACATTGATGTCTGCAATCATATATTTTTTCATATTTTAAATAAACAATGAAAGTTAACTATCATAATTTAAAAAATCTGTTTTTTATTTGCGAAAAAATTATTTGCGAACATAATAATTTTTCATTTATTATAATAATTTTTTATCAAAATATCCACAGATAGCAAAAAATATTGCCTCATTTCTAAATATCGAATCTATAATTAACTGGCATAAAAAAAAAAAAAAAAAAATAAAATGATCTAAAATAAAAATTAAATTATTCAATTCATGGAAAGCTATTAATGCTGATGTTAACAAATAAAAATGGTTACCCCTTTTCAGTTTCACTCCGGTGTGTACTTGTATAATTGATTCTGTAAAATGGTCTATCTTAGATTTATTAATGCATCAAAGATGCACTCCGAAAAGCAGAGCATCCTCTTGCAAAAAACATACCAGGGGTATGTTTAAATCGTGTATTTGACATCGATTATGATGCAAATGTACGTCGAATCATTTTATTACAAGAAAAACTTAAACACATACATGTACACAAGCGCGTTACTTTATCCCCTCCAGTTTGAGATAATAATGGGAAATACGACACTGTCGTGATCTTTTCAGGAGTATGAATATTATCCAATTTTGTTCAGAAGATAATATTTTTTTAATAGATCTTCACGGTGATCCCTAATTCTATCACTTTGTATAGGTTGTGATGAATTAAAAGTTAGAAAAACTTATAATGGAAATTAAATTTATGGATGTTGTTAATTTAGGAAAATCAACGCCTGTCTATATTTGACATAAAAAAAAAACAAAATCTCTTTGCATGCAGTATTCACAGAATTAATTTTGCCAGTGAACATAATAATGCGAAAACCACTCAATGACACACATTTTCTTGTATTTTTTGAACCCATAAAAACTATCCTTTTCGAAAGTTCATGTAATACTTGGGTAATATTTGAGTAAAATTATAATGAAATGAACCCATCCTGTAACTTTACATACATCTAACTTTACATACAACATATATGGAAATTTGATCCATAGAAAGAACATTTCTCTACTTCAAATACAACCCTTTATAGATATCTCTACACACCAAAAAGCTATCTTTAGCTAGAAATGATTTTTTTCGGATAGCTGTGACTGATTTTAAAAAGGGGATGCTTTCTCTAATAAGACACCCCTTTAATTCTCGGAGATTCTTGTTTTATGCAATCATTCAATCTTTGAATTGATTATAGTTTTTTTTTTAAATCAAAGAGTGTTAGTTAATCTTACCTTTTCTATACTACAGGATGTTTTCATGGTGCAAAAGTTGCCCTGAGATAAAAAAAAAAAGAAGGGGACTGGTCTAATTTTTAATGCACTGATGACGACTGACTTGAGAAAAATATCGTCTTTCAATGAAAAAGGACACATGTAAATTTTTTTTGCATAACCTTGGAATTCCTAATTGAGGTGAATTGAAACTTGAGTACGGTTTGTTGAAGACATTTTGGTGTGATGATTTAATTTTTTGAGTGTGTTATAGAGATTTGAAAATCGTCGATTTCTAACGGATTTCATAAAGAAAATTGCACCGAAAGGAAATACACAGGAAATATACAGGAAATAATCATTTTATAATTTTCAGAAGCATAAGGAATTTAATTGATTATACATTAGTGGTTTAATTTGAATGATATTAAAATTTTTCAAATCTTCGAATGAAACATATGGATATAAACGAGCAGTTTCAAGTCAAAAGTCCAGTTAACAATACAAACTATGAGCAGAGCAAACACGAACCACCAAAACATTAGAGGTGGGATCATGTGCCACTGGGGAGTAAGCATACCCTGCCGACCGGCCACGCCCGCCTTGTGCTCCTCCTATCGTGCTTTCATGATCGGGAAATAACGGAAAAATCCGTCGTCAACATTCAATGTATGAATAATGGACTTACAATTAGTATGAACAATGTCAGTCAGCATTTGATGAATGATAAATTGTACTTGCTGATAAGGTCATTGTATCGACCATAGAACTTACAAAATGATGACTTTAAACAAAATGGTATTCGAAAATAGGATGCAACAATTTATCATATTGATATTATGTACAAAAATCTGCAGAAAGTAGCTCAGCTATCTAAACGACTGCGGACGAATGATTAGAAAGATATAGAGTAACGTATATTAAAAACTTTCATATACGAGTATATCGCACCATCTTAAAGTATAAGTCACATTATCCAACGATGGGGTATACGATGAGAAACCGATGCGTTTTTTGATGAAAATGGCGTGGTTGCCGGCCGGGCCCACTAGTGATCGGACTGTGACTGATTCTTTTTTTGCGAATCGGTGGGGTCATCGGTAGGAAATAATTCGTAGTTAAAATTCAGCGATGTCGCCAACGATGTCTCACATCGCTCCTCATCGGCAACCCATCATTAACACATCTTTCAAGGATCGGCCGATGTATGGCCGAGCATCGTCCAATATCCTTTGAATCTGAGGTCATCGGGGAGTTTAGTGGTGTTCAACAGATAACGACCGGTCATCAGTCGATGTTCGACCAAACATTGGCCCGTAGTCGACCGATGTACGAACGATGTTCACCAATGTATGAGCAATGTAATATATATCGGCCGATTATCCTTGAACATCGTTTTATGATTAGCAATGCATCGCTGGGCCTTTGTAAGTCCGACCGGCAACCACGCCATTTTTCTCATAAAACGCATTGGATGCCCATCGTATGCACATCGCTGGATAATGTGACTGATACTTTTAGGACTACTTGGCCGATGTGGACCGATGTTGGGGCATCGTTAACACCATGGATTACTACCGATTACCACCGGTCTACGGCTACCGGCCGGGAAATGTGACCTAGGCATTAATCGGTCATTTTAAATGATATGTTTATTTATAACATTTTTCTCACCAACACCTTCTTCTTCCAAAATAAATCGTTAAATGTGTTTATACTATACAAATTAGGAGCAAAGGAAACACGGACCTCCAAAACATCAGAGGAAGGATCAGGTTTCACGAAGGGGTAAGCTTCGCCTGCCGACCGGTCACACCTGCCGTGTGCTCCTTGTCCTGATATCGGGTATGAACAGAAAATCAGTTGACATATTAATATGTAAATAATACCCCAAAATTAGTATGAAAAACGTCAGTCAGTATTTGACTGAACGATATACTGAATTGGCTGACAAGACAATATATCGACCAAAAAACTAACAAAATGATTACTTTAATTGAGACTGCTGATATTCTTGTTTCATAAACTTTTTCATGAAATTGTTCATACATGGACGTATAGCAAATGATTTAAGTTTATGAGTGTATAAGTAAGGTGATTTAAAGATTAAAAAGTTTGAAACTTAAAAAAAAGACAAAAAACGAGAAAGGAAACAAACTTGGAATTTTTTCATGATTTTTAAGCTATGCACTTACATGTTAAACGACAGGAAAGATAACTTCTAGTTTTTCAGCGTTAGTTAAAGCATCCATTCCCAAGTCACAGAAGTTGTTTTTAATTAAGTACTTATAATTTGACTGGTTTACATATATTTTGGAAGGGAGGAAAATGCAAACATGAATTTGTCTATTTAAAGAGGCTGGGGGGGGGGGGGCAGCCATTTTCAGACTATTTATATCTTCTTTCAAAGAAGAGCTCCATATAAGGATATACAAAAATGATCAAATTTTAAAACTAAAATGTATGAATTTTTTCTTTGCCAAATGATAGTTGACAGCTTAAGATACCGTATCTAAAAAAATAAGTTAAACCTGGTGGTTAATTTGTGATTAATTTGTTGACCCCCAGCCTCCTTAAACATCGCAAGCAACTAGTCTAAAATGTGTTCATACAAAAAAATATATATATAGTTAAACACTTCTATCACAAAACATCAGATTCAATGCATATTTTTTTCGAAACGTTCTATGTATTTTATCGCAATACTTTCCTGTAAGAAAAAATGTTTATTTTTTTCTTTCTTTAATTTAAAAAAGTCTCAGGTTTAAAAAAAAAACATTTTTATAAACTTTCAAATACACAAAAAATGATATCATTTCATCAAAGGGTTTTAATTTAATCAATTTATACACTGCTTTTCGAGACAAGAAAAATAATTCGGTCAGGCATGTTTTTAGGGCTTTATTTATTGGCATTATACACGAACGGCCACTTTCTCTCATGTATTGCATGCATTACTATCAGACTTCTCATTTTTGTAATAATGACTATCAAAACCAATTATAGTTATGGTCAAATTGTCCCAGCGGATAGAAATGAGCTGTGTTAGCCATTGATGACGAGAGCTGTATGGCAACAGATGTCTCTTTTTGTACACTCATCCCGAATGAGTCCAAAGTAGAATGAATTTATTGATTTGTTGTTTCTTCTCTCATATACATGTAAGGGATGTTTTTACGCTTACGCCCAACGGTTTTATAGGAATATGCAATCCATTTGCAAAAACGACTTTTTGGTACCAGAGTTTAGCTTCAAGCATAATCCGGTCATGAAGGTTCAAACTGGCCATAGACCGGTGGTAGTCGGTGTTAATCCGTGGTGTGAGCGATATCCCAACATCTGCACACATCGGCCTTTACACATCAGCCCAGTATAGTCGTTAAAGTATCAGTCACATTATGCAGCGATAGGGTACAGGATGAAAAAAAGAAAAAAGATTTTTGCAATTTTTGATTGATAAATTGATTGTATATTGTTTAACGCCAAGTCGGCAATATTTCAGCCATACAGGTATTTCGGAGAATTTGCGGTTTTGATAAAAATGGTTGCTGACCGGACACCTATAGTAATCGGAGAGTGACTGAGGGCATTTTGCAAATTGGTGGGGGTCATCGGTAGAAAATAAGTTGTAGTTAAAACTCAGCGATGTCTCCTCCGATGCTCCATATCGCTCCTCATCGGCAACCCATCATTAACACGTCCTTCAAGGATTGGCCGATGTATGGCCGAGCATCTTCAACATATAAATGTATAATATAATGTACATTATATAAAGTATAATGTGACTGATACTTTAAGCACTACTAGGCTGATGTGTACCGATGTTGGGGCATCGCTCACACCACGGATTACCATCGATTACCATCGGTGTACCGCCAATGGTCGAGAAATGTGACTAAAGCATAACATATCAGTCACATTATCCAGCAATGGGGTTTACGATGGGCAACAATTGCGGTTTTTTGTTGTTGTAAAAATGGCGTGGTTGCCGGCCGGACTTGCATAGGCCCAGCGATGCATTGCTAATCTTAAAACGATGTTCCAGGGTAACCAGCCGATGTATATTTAATCGCTCATACATTTGTGAACATAGTTTGTACGTTGGTCAACTATGGGCCAATGTTTGGTCGAACATCGACCGAAGACCGGCCGAAGTCTGTTGCCCACCACTCAACATCCCGATGTCCTCAGATTCAGCAGGCACTTGACGATGCTCGGCCATACATCGGCCAATCCTTGAAAGATGTGTTAATGATGGGTTGCCGATGAGGAGCAATGTGGGGCATCGGTGGAGACATCGCTGAATTTTAACTACAACTTATTTTCTACCAATGACCCCCACCGGTTTGTCTAATGGCTCCAGTCACCGTCCGATTACTATAGGTTTCCGGCCGGCAACCACGCCATTTAAAAAAAAAAAACCGCATCATTTTTAATCGTATACCCCATCGCTGGATAATGTGACTGATACTTAAATCATATAATTATCATGGACACTCTAGCAGGGTTGGCATATGTGCCTTTAAATAATATTGTTCTTATAGAAAGAATTTAGTTGGTAGTTGAACATTAAAAACCTTTGGAGGAAAATAAAAATCATTTCAATAATAAAATTTTAAATACATGTAAATCCTCAATTGTAATGGTCACCCTCGTGGCTCAGTTGTTAAAACGCCTGCTCTAGAGTCCCGAAGTAAGCAGTTGATCCTTACGTCGCGAATCCCACTGTGGGGCGTAGAGACCGGTCTTTCAGATGAGGCCCCGTGTAGCAGTAGGTGCTGACACGAAAAAGATCCATTCCTGCTCAATAGCCCTAAGTGCTGAGAATAGGACAATGTTTGCAGCTCTCCACCGACAAGTGTTGACGTCTCCAAATGAATGAAAAATTCTCGAGAGGGACTTTAAACAAAATACAATCAATCAATCAATCAATCAATCAATCAATCAATCAGTTGTAAAATGGATAGAAATATACGCATTTTTCTTAAACTTTAATATCATTTCTCAATGTTACAATTCATACAACCTTATAGATATTGTAAGTTCTTGTAGAAAGGATCCCTACATCTAAATTACATTAATGGACTTTAGGTAATCCAGATATAAAATTATTCTTTATAAACCACGTTTCATATATTTTCATCAAATTAATTTTAAGATACACAGTATAATAAATTATTATTTTCATACCGACCCATTCAAAGTTTGTGCTAAAATATCCAACAGATAACCTCATCACAGAAATTTTTAGTTAATTTAAAATGTATTGAATTATTATAGAACTCTTTACCAAACTATTTCTTAGGCATTTCCCTTTTCCTATTCAGTTATGCAAAAATTGGCTTAGACCTTTGTAGATCAAACTATCTACAACTGGACATTCCCGTATCTACTGCACTTTCGAGTATATTGCCCCCCCCCCCTCCAAACGCCCCTCCACCCGGTTTCTCCCGTTTGTGTCTATATTTAAATGTATATTTCTATAGTTAAGCCAATGAACAATCTTGTATATTTCTTGAATGTATAGAGAGTCAAGTATATACATGGAAGGTTGTATTTTTACTTTTTAAAAAATGCACGAATCTTGCTTTTGAAAATTGAAAAAAAAAATTATTAAGTTTATTCTTCTATTCTTGTTGAGCGCAGTGAACATGAGATTGATTAAAAATAAATTACCGAATCTGCATCTATAGTGCGTCATAAAGTCTTGGGGATTCCCCATCGTGCCTTCCAATATTCGCCATCTTGCACACGGCTTTTTGTGTGCAGTTAATGCATTTGCCTAATGTTGTTCTAGTCATCTGTTTGGAAAATATGCGATAGTCCTACGGCAACTGGATTTTATGTTTCACAAAGTTTGCTAAAAACACAAAGGTAGGTAAGTATTAACATTTTTTTTTTACAAAAAGGTACAAGGGTAATGCGCTAACAGCATACATTATTCTAATGAGCTAACGTCTTTGTCCTTTATAATGACTTGATAAAAAGACCACTTTAAAGAATTGTCCAATAAATATATGAATACTATAGTTTAATAACTTCCTTTGGTTCTATATTTGTTTTTGAAATTTTTCCTTACACTGGATGTTATAATAAAAGAAATAATAAAAGAAATATGTTCCGAATCAAAAATAATGTATTTCTTTTGAATTGACTGTATAGATATAGTCAAAGAGAAGAAAAAAACCGCATTATTATTTTAACATAGAATTGTTAAAAAGCGTTTAAATATACATGTAACATTAAAGTGAATTGTGTACGCTGCTTATTAAACATTGATTGAAGTCAGTCTCTGTACACTTAGAAAGTTCATTCAGTTCTCCAATTTCAATGCGTATCTACATGTACAATGCCACGGAGGTCCAAATATATGGTGTAATCTTTCCTCATATATTCAAACGTAATGAATATAATTCTTTCAAATTGTTCTTCCTGTCTTTTTCTTGCCTTTTTGGCAAGTGTTTAAAAAATCCAACGAAAACATCGCTTCATGAAAAAATATGCATGGTTTCATCAATCCTTTATTTCGCTTTCCTATCCCGTCCTTCAACTTATTATACATGCATTGAAAAATTTATCGCTAACTGTCGGTTGACAAAAGCATGCATGGGCAGATTTTATCAATTATTTTAATTTCAATTATCACAGACCTAATTGTCTGAAGAAACCACCGGTGTTAGACCCTAACAAATGTTTAACATTCATGACAATGTGCACTAGGCAGGTGGGATCGGTCAGCAGGGGATACTCACTCCTCCATGGCACATGATCCCACCTTTGGTGTTTTAGAGGTCCGTGTTTGACATGCTCTAATATTTGTATCATTTAATGGACTTTTAAAATTGAATACTGCTTGTTATTTCCATATATTTCATTTACTATTGCGAAAATTCTGATACAAATACAAATTTAAGTTCATGTAGTTAAATTAATATATTTCGCTTTAATAGTACTTTTCTTGTTAGGGTAAAGAACGAAAGATTGAGCTTCATTGACAGCTTTTTTAAAGCCATTTGCTTACTGAAGATTACACGTCAATTGTTTTTGTCCCGTGATTTTCGTGATTGTAATTAGATGAGAAATAGATTCACAAGTCTTACATTGTTACAATTACATTTTTTTTTTCATATTTACGTTTAAAGTTGTTGGTATTTAGTAGCTCACTACTAGAATATTCATGCAGGGCCTCTGTAGATTCTAGCATGCAAAAAAGAATTACTATGTGAAAATTTATATGAAATAATGTTACAAAAATGACGAAGCAGCTTGTCACGAAATTAAGTTGTTTGAATGACTCATCCTTAAATTCGACATGTCTCATATCGATATTTTTTTTGCTAACATAACTCCCTTTATGCGTTTGGCCTTTTATCTATCGATACTACAATATCAGAATTTGTATCATCTGTGCTTTTTGAGCAGATCTATTTATTTTTATTACTGTGTTTTGTATAGTGTATCATATTTCCCCTTGTGTACAGACTGCATCACTGATGGAGGTGAGAAGTATACATGATGTGAAATCTCAATAACTACCAAAATAATGTAAAATCTATGTTTTGTTTCAAAGATGCTCTATACAGCTGGAATATTTTCTTTTTTTAATAGCAAATTACATATAATTACTGTTGTCATAGAATCTGAAATAAATGGAACATGTGGAAGAAAGATAAGACTTTTCTTACAAGTCATATACATTTATATCGTATAATTAAAAAGGATATTGCTTAGGTGTCTTAATATTCACGAATTTATGACTTGTACAGCTTCCTTGACGATAACTAATTATCGGATAAACGAATCCCCCAAAGATATTTAACATTTAGTACTTATAATTATGTATGTATCAAGCCAATTGTTAACTCCGTAATGGTAATTCTCACTATTTTGATGGCCTTGGTAGAAATAGTAAATAACTCGTTAAATGTTCTTGAGATTGTTTTTATATTTATCAACCCTTACATAGATTAAACCTTATTGCATACACATTCATGGGGCGTTTAAGCGGGTCAATTTTTTTTCCCCGATGTGTGACTTAACAGTTTTTTTTTCAATGAAAATTACATTTTTGCCACAGAAAGAGTTTATTTAATATATATATATATATTTTTTTAAATTGAATAATAAAATCTTCTGGAAATGTTAGAAATAATTTGGCGAATCTGAATCTCCACTGCGTCACAAAGATCTGGGGGCTTTCCCAATATGCAGACGACCGATATTCGCCATCTTGCACTCAGCCTGTTATTTTCAGTGAAACATTTGCATCATGTGTTTGTGTCATCTGTTTGGGAAATAAGCAAGGGCTGTGTTTCAGCAAGCTTAATTCCATGAAGGTTATCTGCGATTACTTAAAATACTAAGGTAGGCTTGATTTTTCTTCATAATGTTTTATAAAACGCTAAAGATCAAGAAATGAATTTTAAAATATTATTTATTCCGTATGAGTTAAGATATTTGTAACCTTCCTTTAAATAAGCACATTAGTAATCGTACAATATATAAATATTTTTTCTGGAAACAATGCATCTTTGGTAAGGAAAAGAAATATTAATGCATCCCAAAGTTAGCCGAAATGGGCTAAATTTCTCTATTTTGGAAAATATCGATTTTGTTTGTCTGGTTCACTGACAGCTTTGCCAGAATATGATAGATATAAAACAAAGATTCCTATTGTTCCTGCGTAAAAAAGGGGAAATGTAAAATGCTTAACCTGCATTTGTGCTCAAAACAAAAAAGTCTGTTAAAACGTACTTTATTTCAACCTTCATGCTTAAGCTGTTAATCATGCAAATAGGAGTAGGTAAATATCTTAAAAATATCATTTATCATAAAAACAAAACAAAACAAAAAGAAATTGCCAAAAGAATTAATGTTTTTCTTTGATAACGTAGCAAAAATTTATGTTTTTTTCAAAAAAAAAAATGAATTACGATATTACGAATGCATATAAGGTATACGTAGAAAAGAAATCTAAGTTGCAAATCAGCAAATAAATATTTCATTCGCACGCTTTCTCCAAACAGTCGGAATGTAACACGTTTTAGACTCGACGCATTCCAGTGGTTTATCCTCAGCATTTCTGTCGTCTGCATGTGTTGCTACAAATGTAACCCAAATTTCATTATTTAAAGCTATTCTCCGCTGACAACGGTGAACCGATTACGATTTTATAACACTCAATTTCAGTGCCCAGATTAATTGTACTTGTATTCTTTATTCAATTTACCCACAAATGCAAAACAGGCAGATATATATATAAGTTAAGATTAATTTTTTCATTGTCGACCATACTCACTTTTGGGTATTATTTCAAATGTAAATTTTATACCGATTCTACACCTCGCTTCTATAATCGCCATTGTTGTAAGTTTTTGTGGTATCAAGAATGTTTGATTTTTAAATATGTCATTTCAAATTGTCTGCAGACTTTTAAAACCTTGAATAAGTCAATAAAAAAAAAATTATTGTAGCCTTGTTTGATTATTTCAAGTGAAATTAAAATGATAATTATCATTTGTTAAGTTTGAAACAGAATATAATAAGGTTTTTTTTTGTTTTTGTAATTTATATGAAAGGACTTGATTCATTTTTTACTAATTGTTTTTTTTTTTTTTTTTTGAGTACTGCCAAGATTTTACTCTTTTTGAGGGTAATACACACTTAAACATTCATTGTCTGTAACTTAAAGATATCTGCTTATAGTAAACAAACTCCTGTGGGAACTGTACAGAAATCATTTTTGACAGATGAAAGGCAAACTTGACAATTAGCTGTCTAAATGATATATCCTCATAACTCCGTTTGCCATCAATATATTTTATATACAAAAGATCTGCCTGGTTCATCATTGTCGAAATTGTTTAATCCAATAACAGCCGATGCGTTATTTGCGTGTTTTCTGTATGTCATTAAATTACTGTAGCGTCTTTTTTCTCTATTAACTATACCACATGACAAGCATGGTAGGATTAAAGATAAAATTTGTCTAGAAATCGATTTTCAAACACGTACACAAAAATTTTTCTCTAGTAAAAGAAAATAAAACATATATAAATTACATGAAATGTTATTTATTATTTTGCTGAACTGCATTTACATTCTAACGATCAAGATGGCTTTGTCAGCTTTAAAATTGAAGTTTAAGTTGTAGTTACTTCAGTCTATGAAAAAAGAACCCGTATGTATTTCATTCCCAGAAAAAAAAAAACGTTGTGAATAAAATTATCGAAAATCCAATATTTACTTCTCCTAATCTGTTTAAGGAATGAATTAAATTGCAACCCAAGTTATCCTGTATAACCTAGGTTGGGGCACTTTATGCTTTATATACCGCGAATTCTCAATCATGAAGTATAGAAAACAATTTCTTCCTTACAAACGTCTTCAAATTGATCATATTTTAAACGTAACGTGAAGCGGATTGATATGTTTTTCACGTTTGTCATTGTGACGTAGTCAACCCAGATGATACAATATAGACTAATTTTTTTATCCAATCAAATAACATGTGCAAACCAAAATTAAACTATTTTGAATTGACACCCCATTCCCTTTACTGTATCGTCGATAACAACTAGAATACATATGTCATGATTTAAGGTTTGGTTTGCTTTAGTAATGGAACTTTGCTGTGAGGATTGAAGACAATTTTTGCAGTGATAAACTTGACAATTTCGCAGTACTGTTAAGGCTTCCCATAGCTTTAATTGCATTTAAAACGTAACGCTGCATTGCAAGGTCGATTTTAAGTTTTGTTTTTAAGTTTTTACCTAAATACGGCCAATTCATACAGAGAGTTTCCTAGGCTATATATAAAAATATTTGTTACGATATCACATGACCTCGAAGACCACGTGGCGTTCATGTCTACATTTTTGAAGTGCTTCACATAAATCGCTTCGGCGCAGCCCTATAGACCTGACACAATTATTTATAATTTTTTGTCATGTAAATAAACTCGTTGCGTCCTTGATAACCCGAAATGTACGTCGGAAAAGTTATACTATTGCTCTGATACAAAATATTTCACATTGACTTCAACTTACCGACAAATCTGAGGATATTTTCCGCTCAATATCGTCATCTCTTTTAAAACAAAGTAGCCATCATACATTTTTCCCAAGCAAGATTCAGTTAGAGGGGATACTCCTGTTACAGATTTTCACAAAACATCTCAAATTAATCCTCAGTAAAGACCTGCGCCAGGCCCTTTTATACACATATTATGAATTCTGCCTCTATCCACGAGTAAAAATAAGGGTAAATGTCAAACGTATATTTTCGTATGTATTTTGAACACGCTGACTTTTACACAAGAGTAATAGAACAAAGCTATCTACATTATTCGGATACATTATATTTTAAAAAAAATGATTAAAACATCTTTATTTTAAACTAGATTTCTGCATCTTTATATGCAGATTGAAATAAGATGTAAGGTTTATGACACTCTCCCCCTCATTACAGCTCAAGTTTGTAGTGACTTGACGTCTTTTTTAATTATGACGTCACACATTTGTAGTTCAGAGAAGTGCATGCACAGAGTACACTGCAATATTCTCTGGGAAGTCTTATCGTACCTGCGTAATTTTTCGATTTATAAAAACTTAAAATAATTATTTTCTCTTTGTTTTCTTTTTCTATTTTTGTTAATTTTTTTGTTTTTTTATATTTAAATTAAGAAAAAAATTAAAACATATAAACAGCTATTTAGATATAATTATTGCCAGTATTTCCATTGGTTACATCTTTTTCAAAATTTTATATTATTTTTATCCATGCAATTATGTCCTTCTTTTTTAATCCTTAAATCTTTATGATGAATTTACCTGTATGTGGAAAAGTGTATGGTTGTTTTCTTTTTTCCACGTTCGATTTATACAAAAGTGAAGTTACGACTTCAAACATTGAATACAAATTGTGTATAGGATATCAACAAACAATTGACTCAAGCTCAAGAAATTAAGTGGCCTTTACCCTACCTGATTTCATAAAGAAAACTTATTTGAATTGAAATTCCACCCGCCAGCATGTCTTGAAATGAAAATTTCGACGAAAATAACTTTTTTAATTTATAATTTATATGGGGATTTTATAAAAGTCTCCAAAAGCCTCATAATAAAAGAAATATACACAATCATTTTCATATGTAATCACAGTCGTATGATATTTTAATGAACTCTTTGCTATAACAACATTTGTAAAATTACACAAAGTTATGCAAAGATATGAATACTTTAAAAAAAGAATAGTGGTATTAGTAAGATTTATTGAAATTCCATATCCATATTTTATATAATGCCTAAAAGAACACGCTGTAACATTGCAAGATGAATTAAGTATAGCAGCTGTTTTGAATAACACAGCTTCCATTTTTTGTACCTCTTTATCTACAAATTTAAAGAAACAACGTCTGGATGTACTTTCATTCATGATTTTTTTACTAACCTTTTCTGTTTGTTTCGAATAATTGGGATTTAGTTTTCAGCGGGACAGTGGTTTGTGTCAGTTTTGACCTCACTGCATATTCCAGTATTAACTATTACATCAAAATTGGTGGTGAGTTCATTTTTCTTTTGCATTTGTATTTTGTAATTTGAAGAAAAAAAATGCATGAACTTCTTTAAGATTACTATTATTAATTTTTGCATATATTACGGAATGAAAAATAAAACAACAAATCATTTTAACAGTAACATTGAAAAGAAAAATTGTTAGAGCTTACAGAGTTATTTGAGGTGACGCTTATGTAAAACAAAAGGTCGGATTATTCATATATGTAAATCAAACAAAAGGCATAGTCTAAAACAATTCATGTGCTCTTTCTACTTTTTAAGGCTGGTAATAATTTATATGAAAATAATAAAGTTATATAATACGTTCCTAAAATAATATAGGTACCTCCTTGAATCTTCTCTGTTTCATTTTTCCTAACCGATGATTTTCACAGAGATTGTCGAAAAAGAGCATTAATTAAACATCACTGATGTCTTCACGATTATTAAAATTTCTTAAATAAATTTCATACTCAAATATTTTTATTCAGATCCAAAACGCAGTATATTTAAATAATGTCATTGTATTTTTGTATGCAAATTTGAATGCAGCTCTGCTAGAATACAAATACTGAAAATGTACATGAATCAAAGTACAGTTGTTGTGCACAATGGCCGAAATTAAACCTCTTAAAACGACTAATCCTTATTTTATAAAGGCAAGGTTTTATACTTTTTTCAGCAACTTAGAATTATACATATATGTATGATATACGCTGAAAGGTTGAGTGTTGTTTTGAAAGTCTAAATCATGTCAGGCTGCCTTATTCAAGATTTTAAACAATGAATAACTTGAAATGATCAAATTGTTATATACATATATATATATATATATATATATATATATATATATATATATATATATATACATATATATATATATAAAACATTCTTTTTGTTGATGTGTGAAATTTTATTTCATGTGGTTTGTTAAAAATAATGTCATCTTTTAATTTTTAAGTCAATTTTAAACTAGAAAATATGCGTAAGATTCTCATAAATACTGTATACAGGAAGATGTTTGCCTCCTCTTTATTTTCGTCGCTTTTGATTTTGTTGCTAGTGTACAAATGTAAAACTGGGTAATTTCGACAAAAACTCCAAAATTTTATGTGCAAAACATTGGGCAATCTAAAGCGGGTCATTTTTTGCAAGTGTTAATCGGTGAAAATAACACGATGGAAAAATAACCTTGTTAACAGTTATCTACCTAATACATTTATACAGTCTGGGAAATTTATAATTACTAATTAACTCATTCAAACGGTTCTCTATCTGAATTCTATTCTCCTTGCAATTGCTTCAATAAGATAAATTAATTTAGCGATAATTTTATCCTTTACAAATGTGCTAAAACTGTATTAGAAACTGCAAATTACATCGTATCTTTCCATGACATGAAGATTTTGCTCAGATTTATACTGTCAGTGAGATAGTCCACTTCCTGATAGATTTTGATCAGCTGATACAAAGCGTATGTTATTCAAATGCACAAGCTCGGTTTTGTTGGATTTCCTGCTTCCTCCATTTTTTCCAATTTTTATTCTGGAATTTTCCTTGATGATCATTGTATTATAAATATCATTAACGAAATCATTTACTTCTGCGAGAACAATTTAGGATGTCATTTTCTTTACCTCTTTCAAAAAGCACTACATATAGTCTAAAAAAGATTTCTTCTCAATAAGGTAAAATATTTAGTCATAATTTGAAATATAAAACACAATTCATAACGTCTCGGATATGTTTTTTTCTTGTTTTCATGCTATTTTTAAGAAGTTATACAATCATTTAGTGTATTGTTTGTAATTAACTAAATTTGGACCTTCGCAATCCAGTTTTTGAAGTTTTTAACATTAAAAAAGTTTTAAATAAATCAAAATATCAAAAGATGGGTGAACATGCTTCCAATTTTTCTTGTTAAAAGGTTTCTCCCAATTAATATGTGATAATCCGCTAAGTGAAAAAATAGCATGATAGTAGCCTTTTTTTAAAATCACCTTCCTATAATCATATTTCATAAAACAAAGTATTTAATGTTTTCATTTTGTAATTCAACTTTAAACAGTTCTGTTTGTCATTTTAAAACTATAAAAGTGTGTATTGATAAACGTTAATTTGTTCCACTTTGTTAAAACTGTGATGACGTGACAAATGTATAATGTCTCTAATCTTTGTTTTGTGCATATATAATAGCTTTTGAGAATATGATATCGGTCTGTCGTCGCTCTGGTTCTGTTACATCATTTCTATAATTGATATATTTCCTTCATCCATACCCTATCGTCTTAAACACGATGCTTTCTTTTTCTTTTAAAAACACTTGCATCACTCTGTATGAATATTTTACAAACTGCATGTTTGATTTTGATTAACTAAACATCAATTTAGTTCAGGGATTTTCTTAGCGTAACAGGGAAATTGATTTTGATTTTTTTTTTTTTGAAAATCGCTGACGTCATTTATCTCTTTCTTGCAGCGTTTAAAAAAATGATAGTTTATTTAGTAATAATTTTTGGCAAGGTCATCATTTTTTCTTTTTAATTTTGGTTACAACCTCACATTGATAAATAAATTGTAAGTACATGTAGTCTCTTCGTGATGTTTGACCAGACTAGATAATTAAAAGGTAAGTTATGTCCACAATTAATGATCGAAAGTTTTTGAAGTCTGCAAGAATTTACCAAGACTATAATTCTCATTAACCGGTTAATTATGTATTTTGTTGAAAGAGTGCAAAAATCTGTACAACAATTAGCTCAAGAACATAAAGAAGTTTGTAATAGATATATTGTCGAATATCAAAAAAGTAAACAAATCTTTGCAAAAATTTCTTACTGTAATCGACTGAGAAATATCTTGTCGACGTATTGAGAGATACCAATCGCTATTTTCTCTATAAAGTTTTTTTTTATTTTATTTTTTTTTTTTTACAAAAGTCATTGTAGAATAAAAGCATATTAAAACCCCCTCAGTTATAATGCAGAGAAGTTTTTTTTCCTGTTAATGTTTCATAACAGTAAGAAATATCAATTGAATGCCATTCCCAAACTTTCGATGTACCGAATAATATATGAGCATTGTGCGTAAACAAAGAGTTTAAGGATGAAGGCTTCGTTTATTAATCGGTTTGCCAGACTGTTTGTCTAGATAAAGTTCATCATAGTTCACTAGCATCACTATTAACGTCAAGAACCAAGGTCGGACGTCCGGCTATTTGTAGTTTATTATATGTAATATAATGGATTTACAATGAAGCGCATTGAAGTGGTAAAATTTTCCGTTTGGACGAAACGTTCTGAGTCATGTTTTGAACGTCAATTACAACACAATGACACGCCCATATTTTTAGAAACGAGAAAGAAATATTCGTCGTAATGTTTTAGGACACCCCAATCTTCGCGACAAGCAGCATGAGTTACACTGAAATGGTGCTTGAAAAAAATAAGAAGAGAGAGTTAGAGACTCTCCGCTTCTGTAAAACATAAATTGCAACGAATATGTACATATCTTTGAACTTATCATGTCTATTGAAGTTACGACAACACATGTTTCGGTCGAACACGTGTTTACTCGGTGTTTATTTAGACCGTCAATTTGATTGGCTTTTATATTTATGGAAAACCTGTTCTACAGGTATTCGAATAAACAAATTGACCGTTTTATCCATTTCTAAAGAAATGGGCGTGTCATAAGATGACAATAAACGTTCTAAAGATAGCTCAAAACGTTCCATTCGAACGGAAAATTTTACCACTTCTATGCGCTTCATTGTATGTCATGTTTGATGAAAACAACTAACGCAGCCTTCACGAAAACGTTCCTCAGAAACTAACCAGTAGGGCAAGTTGATTTGCTATGATAATTTTTACAAGCCCAAAGAAATTTTTAAAAACCAATAAATCAATAATATGTGAATAATATATAAAATGAAATTTCATATTTTATTTTGTATCATTTTATTCCATTTAACAATTTTCAGTATCAAATATATCATTAGTACCGTATATAGCATTTAAAAGCTTGATTAATTTGCTATCTATATTCCATTATTTGAAATTTCATTTTCATCTTATTTAACAAATATTTTTATTTTGATTTAAATTTCAAGAGCATAAATATAGTTAAATCAACTTTTTAAAACACTTTTCATTGACACCTATCTGCCTCCAGACTAAAAACTGGACTTAAAAAGGTATCTCAGATTTTTAAAAAATCTATTTATTCAAAAGTTATAGTCATTTGTCCTTCAATGTTATTAATTCATAAGCACAATTCTACACTTCCTTCAATAATGCCCGAACCAAGCAAAATATCAGATCTGAGATAGATTTTGTGAACACTATTTTAAACACAATCTAGCAAGATTTCAAAGAAATTGGCCTAAAAGATGGCAACTGAATCCTTTGAAATACTACCAATTTTCTTATAACGGTAGAGGGAAAACCCAATTACACAGTACATTCTGCCAAATCTACAAATACTTGACAGTTTCGAGATTCAGCTTTTGATACCTGGCACCTAGCCATATTTCCAATGCATTTTCAAGAGAATATGGGGTTCTTTTCTGTATTTAGGTGGTTTAAATTTCAAGAGTAAGTAAAAACAGGTTAAATTCTGAATCAGAAATATCTCCCGACAAAATGGCAAGAGCTAAGATCCACCTCCGGATCCTATTGTATGGTTGTTAGTGACCTGTTAGATCTCGTTCCCTTAATTTAGAGTTCCTGTAGTCTAATTCCTGATAACCTCTGTGTGGCTAGTGGAGAATTTCCACAATTGTCAGTAATTTATTGCTCATTTCATGTGCAGGTAGTCACAGATCAAATCAGAAGCTTTAATAACGGAACATTCTCATGGGATAGTGTTTATGTTTCTTTATTGTTAAAGAATTAGAAAATCATGTCATAATCAGCAAGAATTTTTCATGCATTATAAAGCAGTGATTAACTTCCTTATTTTAGCCAAAAAATTGCTGAATTGACAAAAATCTCAAAAAGCCTT